GTGGCCAGGGAGGGAGGGGTGAGGCATGGTCTGGGAAAGGGCTCTGGGGGGGCGAGGCCCGGGGAGGGGCCAGGGAGGGGCGTGGCCAGGGAGGGGCGTGGCCGGCCTCCAATTCCACCTGGAATCACAAACTTGATTTTTCAGGTCTTTAAAGTTCTGCCCTGGTTTTCAGTCGTCTGAAGTGTCCCATACCTCCGCATTTTAAGGAGTACTCCGGAGTGCTGAATTTGGGGACATACAGTGTCCTGGGTTTTTGTACCTTATCTCCTGGATTTTGAGGAGAGAGCAGATCAGGCCCGGGCTCTGAGTTTCCCAGTGTGTGCGTGTGTGTGTTTGCTCTTGTGAATCCACACCCGGCCCGCGCGATGGCGAGTGGGCCTGGCCCCTGGCGGCCAGGTGCGAGCCTGCTCCCCACACCTGTGTGACCTGGCTGGCTCCCGGCCGGCCTCTTCACGGGCTGTGGCTTTTAAGTGGGGACCTCCAGCACACACCTTGCTTGTAATTTAAAACCGCTTCATTAGCAAAGACGTGTGATTCATTTTCCTTTGCGTAGCAAATGTTTATGGTTTTAGCTTTTCAAATCCACCGCAAATCACTTGTACTTGAAACTAGGGCCGGTCTGAAAGCAATTACCCAACCACACTCCGAAGACCAGATGATGGCGATTACTGTGGATGTGTGCCCCACTCGGTCTTAAACTCCAAACAGTCTCACTGGTGTTTTTCCCAGCAAATGCAGCTTGCCTGGTCTCCGCAGTGTTTCCTGTGGCTCCTGAGTGTGTGGACCGCCTCCAGCCCTTCCCCGGAGGGCTGTGGCTGCGCGGGGCCTGGGGCCGGGGCACGGGGGCCAGGCATGCTCTCCAGGTAGGTGAAGAACGGAGCCTTCTTCATAATGTCTGTCTCTTTTTTTCTAGCCACGGAAGCAAGGGTGAATTGCGTGCCTACCCCTGGCAGTTTCTAGACATGTGAGACTCTCCCTCACCAAAGCGCAATTAAAGATAAGAACCAAAACACATAGTATTTGCACTTTGTACTTTACATGTAAATTCACCCTGTAGAAAGGAGATATTTAAACGGACCGTTTTAGCCTGTGACGCGGAGGCTGGCTTTGGCAACGCCGTCGCGTGCAGCGTTGTGTCCGTTCTCGGCTGTGGACGTGGACGGGCCGCCGGGCACGGAGCGTCTGCGCAGAGGATGCAGAAGGTGCCAGCGGCACTCGGGCTGTCCCTGCCTCTCTGCAGCCCTCCGGGGTCCAGCACTGTTGGCCCTCGTGCGGGGTTGCCGTCTCCGAGGCGTCTGTGCCGGCCCTGGATACACACCGCAGCCTGTCCCTGGGGTCTTGTGTTGCCTGGTCGGGTTTCGGAATCTGGCTCACGCCCCCAGTCACGTGTGGCAAAGCTTGCTGTCACGGCCCGTGCTGTCAGAAGTTCGCAGCCCACAGAGCCCCACTTCAAAGCCCAGGCCTGGTTCCAGCCACCAGCCCTGCCCCCCAGCTCAGCTCCATGTCGGCCTGCTCCTCTCTTCCACATGGCTGTCCCGGTCTCCTGTGGCCCAGCCCCTGGGCCCCGTGGAAGGGAAGACCACCCCGCACAGACCACGAACAGGCTCCGGCCGAAGGCACAGCAGGCTATGTGGAGGGGGCAGACCGGCCGCAGGTGTGAACACCCACCGCCCATGGTTGTGGCTCCCCTCTTTCCTAACGCCTCAGGGGAGAGGAGGCATGCTGAGGGCGTCCTGATGTTCCAGCGAGAGGGACCGGGAGCTGGACGCCCACCCTGGGGGCAGTGGGCAGTCCTTCACGTGGGGCCAGAGCTGCCTGCAGACCCGAGCAGTGGTCAGTGCTGGCCTGCTGGCCCCGAGGACCTGTGTGGAGCATGGGCGGGAGCCGGAGCAGCCCGTGAAGCCTCAGCTCAGACTCCGGCAGACAGTCCTTCCTGGCCTGTGTCTCCCGCCAGTTACCAACGCTGGTGTCTAGTTGTGTGTGCAGATAGTTCATGAGTCTTTTGCTTGTTTAAGCTATGCAACGGTCAAACACATGCCAGCATTGTCTAGGTAACGCTTACCATCCTAAATGTTTTGGATAATCTTTTATATTTTTGAACTTCAAATTTAATCGTTTTTCTTAGATTAAAATATGCTATCAAAAGTGTATTTAGTCCTTTCTTTCCAGACTTTTTGAAACGTGTGTGTGTGTGTGTGTGTGTGTTCCAGTACTGGGACTTGAACACAGGTCCCGGGCACTGTACCTGCGTTTTTTGCTCAAGGCTAGCAGGTTTTCCCTCTGGACCTTTGTGCTGGTGTTTTGGAGACTGAGTCTTGCAGACCTTCCTACCCAGCCTCTCAGAACACGTGTAGAGCTTTTCCTTCAGGCCTTTTGGACAGATGCAGCATCACCTCCGTCAGCAATTGTCCGTGGGTTGAGGCGGATCCACACGGTATCGTCCTTGCTCGCAGGACTTTCACTGTGTTACGTCGGGCAGCCCTCTGCTCTCAGCCCGAGGGCTGAGATTTCCCCTGTGCACTGCCACCGGCATCATCCTCTCCAGCACTGCCGTTATCATTGCTAGGAAAATGCTGCCATTGTTCTTTCCTTGGCCTGCCTTGGTCTTGGCAGGTATAACGGACGGGATCAAACCCTCGTATCGATCATGCTACGTTCTGGGGCCTGGGCCCAGCGTGGTGGCCCAGCACACACAGCATGGCAGCAAGCGCGGGAACCTCGGCCTCTGATCCCATCTGACCTCAGTACTCCCACGGGTGTTATTTCCAAACACCAACCCCTGGGGGCGTCTTCCACCTACATGTTTGGGGACACAATTTGGTCTCCAGCAGGTTCTCTATTTAGACCATAAAGTTCATTCAAAAGCAAGAGATGATAGAGTCAACTTAGAGATGAGACCCTGGAGCAAGTACTGCAGGAGGAGAGGGCACAGGTACGCAGTGTGACAATGGCCATCACAGCAGGTGGACATACTGGACGTGGGTGAGGACGTGGGCAGCAGGTGGACACGCTGGACGTGGGGTGAGGACATGGGCAGTAGGTGGACATGCTGGACGTGGGTGGGGACGTGGGCAGCAAGTGGACACCCTGGACGTGGGGTGGGGACGTGGGCAGCAAGTGGACACTGGGCATGGGGTGAGGACATGGGCAGCAGGTGGACACATGGACGTGGGGCAAGGACGTGGGCAGCAGGTGGACACACTGTACATGGGGTGGGGACGTGGGCAGCAGATGGACACGCTGGACGTGGGGTGGGGACGTGGGCAGCAGGTGGACACGCTGGGCATGGGGTGGGGACGTGGACAGCAGGTAGACATGCTGGACGTGGGGTGGGGACGTGGGCAGCAGGTGGACATGCTGGACACAGGGTGAGGACATGGGCAGCAGATGGACACACTGGGCGTGGGGTGGGGATGTGGGCAGCAGGTGGACACACTGGGCATGGGGTGAGGACATGGGCAGCAGGTGGACACACTGGACATGGGGTGAGGACATGGGCAGCAGGTGGACACACTGGGCATGGGGTGGGGACGTGGGCAGCAGGTGGACACACTGGGCGTGGGGTGGGGACGTGGGCAGCAGGTGGACACACTGGGCATGGGGTGAGGACATGGGCAGCAGGTGGACACACTGGGCGTGGGGTGGGGACGTGGGCAGCAGGTGGACACACTGGGCATGGGGTGGGGACGTGGGCAGCAGGTGGACATGCTGGACATGGGGCGAGTATGTGGGCAGCAGGTGGACACACTGGACATGGGGTGAGGACGTGGGCAGCAGTGGCCACACTGGATATGGGGTGAGGACATGGGCAGCAGGTGGACACACTGGACATGGGGTGAGGACATGGGCAGCAGGTGGACATGCTGGACGTGGGGCGAGGACGTGGGCAGCAGGTGGACACACTGGACATGGGGTGAGGACATGGGCAGCAGGTGGACACACTGGACATGGGGTGAGGACATGGGCAGCAGGTGTACACGCTGGACATGGGGTGGGGATGTGGGCAGCAGGTGGCCACACTGGCCCCGGGAAGGGGCAGGGCACACTGCAAAGGGACCATGTGACACACTGGCTGTTTGCTGCTTCACTCCACACCTGACTCCCTCGGCAGCCTGTGTGTCCGCATGTGCTGTGGACTGGACTGCCTCCAGTAGAAGCAGGGCTGGTGTGGGCTGTGGGGCCCACGTGAACTCCCAGAGCCACAGACCTGCCCAGGAGGGTTCCCCCTCGAGCCTAACGTAGGATCCCTCTAAACACAATCCTGTCATACTTCACTCCTTCAACCATCGGCTCTTGGAGGACTCGGCTGACCGTGAAGTAAGTCCGCCCTCGTGGTTCATTTAGTTAACACAGTACTAGTCAGAGAGCAGCAAGGTGCTCATTTTGAATTAGGTGTGTGTGTGAGAGAGGGAGGGAGGGAGGGAGACTGCAAAAATGTTTTGGTTTTCAGTCACTAAAAAGGAAGAAAAACAACCTATTTGTTGAATGAAATGGCAGTTTCTGTGTGGATCATTTTCAGAGACCTGACTCTGGATGCCCCCGAGCTGGGCTGGCCGTGTGGACTCTGACGCCCCGAGCTGGCCGTGTGGACTCTGATGCCCCGAGCTGGCCGTGTGAACTCTGACGCTCCGAGCTGGCCGTGTGGACTCTGACGCTCCGAGCTGAGCTGGCCGTATGGACTCTGACGCCCCGAGCTGGCCGTGTGGACTCTGACGCTCTGAGCTGGCCGTGTGGACTCTGACGCCCCGAGCTGGGCTGGCCGTGTGGACTCTGACGCCCCGAGCTGGCCGTGTGGACTCTGACTCTCCTGAGCTGGCTGTGTGGACTCTGACTCTCCTGAGCTGGCTGTGTGGACTCTGACTCTCCCGAGCTGGCCGTGTGGACTCTGACTCTCCCGAGCTGGCCATGTGGACTCTGACGCCCCGAGCTGGCTGTGTGGACTCTGACGCCCCGAGCTGGCTGGCTGTGGACGGCAGCTCAAGGCCCGCCCCCCAGGGAAGCTTGCTGCCGCCACGGTCCCAGCCCCCAAGTCAGCGCCCTCTGCCCACTGATCCTCGCCTGTCCTCAAGGCCACTGCGAAGTGCAGAGGACGCCTGGCTGCGTGACTCCGGGAAGGATTCACAGCCGCGGCCCCGGCCCCTCGGTTCTCTCTCTGCCTGGGTCCTCGGCAGCACATTGCTGACCCCCCCCCAGTGTCCCCAGCTGCCCGCCCACCGTGGCGGCCTCTGCAGGCCCATGTCAAGCCAGTCCCCGCCCTGCAGGCCCCGGGTGGCTGCGTCGGGAACACCTCAGCCACGAGCCCCTCTGAGGCTCTCCTGGACGCAGGCGCAGTGGAGGGCGCCCTGCACAGCTCCTCCCTCCCCAGCCGGGGCGGGGGGCAGAGCCTGGAGCCGCCTCCACGCGCAGCGCACTCCCCTCTGAGGCCACGGCCGGGACGTGGTACCGCACCATCTCCACGCGCAGCGCACTCCCCTCTGAGGCCACGGCCGGGGTGTGGCACCGCACCCTCCGGCCTCCACGTGCAGCGCACTCCCCTCTGAGGCCACGGCCGGGGCGTGGCACTGCACCCTCCGGCCTCCACGCCAGACGCGGATGTCCCCAGAAAGACTGGAGTTGCCCAAATAAGAAGACAGTCACGTGACAGAAACTAGACGTAAGGAGGGAAGGGCGGGCAGCGTGGAACAGAGGAGCCACAGAACACGGCCTGAAATGCAGGCACGGAAGAGCCACAGGCAGCCGTTCCTTCCGTGCTGCCTCTCGGTGATCCGGTGCCGGCCCGCACCTCGGCCTGCGGCGCACACCACTGAGCCACTGAGGGGGACCGACTTGAGCCACCAGCCTCCAAAGACCGCGGGTGTGACCTCCCCCTGGACCTTCCACCCCCTCCGGAGATGGAGACAGAACCAGCTTCTTACAGTCAATGCAGCTGTAACGAACAACATCAGCGGAGACCAGGAGCAAAGCACACGGGCCTGCTTATTCCTGCGGCCGGTGCCCAACGCGCAGAGCCCCGCAGGACCACAGCAGAACGGAGAACGGACAATGAGTCCCACATCACAGTGCCTGGAATTCTGTAAAACACCCACACGTGGGCCGACCGCTCAGGGACAGCTGTGACGGCTTGAAATGGAATTTTGCCTTTGGTTAGCATCAGTCCTGTATGAACAATGCAAAGCATGCGGCTTGAATTATCACATAAACGTGAGTGTGTGCTGAGGCTGGCTGCCTGTGCAGTGCTTGGCGGGAGGTCCAGGTGTCCCTTGAAAGGCTCAGAGCTGACCACAGCATCCACATCCTGACCTCACACTGAGATCACAGCTGACCACGGCCTCCTTACCCTGACCTCACACTGAGATCACAGCTGACCACGGCCTCCACATCCTGACCTCACACTGAGATCACAGCTGACCACGGCCTCCACATCCTGACCTCACACTGAGATCACAGCTGACCACGGCCTCCACATCCTGACCTCACACTGAGATCACAGCTGACCACGCGTCCACATCCTGACTTCACACTGAGATCACAGCTGACCCGGCCTCCACATCCTGACCTCACACTGAGATCACAGCTGACCACGCGTCCACATCCTGACCTCACACTGAGATCACAGCTGACCACGGCCTCCTCATCCTGACCTCACACTGAGATCACAGCTGACCACGGCCTCCTCATCCTGACCTCACACTGAGATCAGAGCTGACCACGGCCTCCTCATCCTGACCTCACACTGAGATCAGAGCTGACCACAGCCTCCTCCTCCTGGCCTCACATGTGGTGTGAGGTGCCGGGCGGAGTAGGGGCGGCACAGAGCCCAGAGGCGCGTTTTGTCTCCCCCCACTCTGCTCTGCTGCTCTGGGCAGCTCGGGGCTCCGAGGGCTGTCTGTCTGTCTCCAGCTTGCTGCTCCAGCAGCTCGGGGCTCAGAGGGCTGTCCGCCTGTCCCCAGCTCCTCTGCTGCCCCCGCCTGTGCACGCAGCTCCCCCCGCCTGCCCCGGCCTGTGCACGCAGCTCCCCCC